CTCTCCCTTCCTCTCTGTAAAAAAATCAATAAAATATATTTTTTTTCTAAAAAAGAAATGTTATGTTTTCTTGATGTAGTGTTCCCTCTGTGGATGTTATTTGCTTGGAGAATAATTTCCCACCCTTTTACTTTGAATCTGCCTTTGTCTTTGCTGTTTAGATGTGTCTCTTTTAGGCAGCATATGGTTGGGTTTTGTTTTTTGACCCACTCTGCTACTCTGTGCCTCTTTACTGGTGAATTCAGACCATTTACATTTAGAATAATTATTGATGGCTTATCTGGCTTTTCTGATACCCCTCCAGCCAGAAAGGGGTGGGAGGAACTCCCTTGTTACTGCAAAGTGGAGGCAGAAGTCCAGGTTTTCCACTCAGCCTTCATTGGCATGTGAGAGGGAACTCATTACCACTGGATGGGGTGGGGACTTCTGGCAGTCTCCACTGATACTGAAGTAGGTGACCTTGTTACCACTGAGCTATGGTAAAAGTCCTGCCTCTCCACTAGGCCTCCTCTAACATTGCACCCCAATCCTTGTTACAGACAAGTAGGGTGGCAGTCTGGGCTCCCTACTTGACCTTGGCTGGCACAGTTTGGGTGCAGGAGCATAGTTTTTTTTCCTATGGTGTTTGGCTGGAATTGAGTGATTATTATTTAAATGTTTTCTGTCTTGTTAGGTTATCCCTTTATTTGCCCTTTGGCTAGAGCAACGGTTCTCAACCTGTGGGTCATGACCCCTTTTACAGGGGTCGCCTAAGGCCATCAGAAACCACATATATAATTATATATTGTCTTTGTGATTAATCACTATGCTAACTATAGACAGGATACCAGGGTAGGTGCTGTCATATCTTCTCTAGCTCCTCATCTTTGAAGATATCTTCTTTCTGCTTATTACCCAATCTCTATTCCTAGAACCAATCCAAACTATATATAACAAGAAAGACTTTTTAAAGCTTATGTTATAAAGTGAGATTTGCTATCAAATCACATTTGCTATTGGCCTAACTTTGACACTGGTAAGTAACCATTCTCAGGATTTTATTTCTCCTTTTTTTTTTTTTTTTTTTTTTTGTCCAATATCTGAGTACTGCTTTGAATTGCTCTTACCAGTCTCTCATCAAAGAATAAATACTGCACTAGAACCAAAAACCTTGCTACTTGTTGATCACCAGCCACAATCCCTGTAGTACAATTCCAAATGTTTGACTAAAATATTACTTAAAATGCCTGACTGAAATTTTCTCTGACCCTCATGACCTTCAAAATTACAACCTTTAGATACCACACTCAACATCCTGGTAGAATCTCCACTGAGTGAATCTAGTTCCGAATTAAGGTACTCCTCCCTTCACCTGCCCCTTCTGCCAGGCTAACTCATTCCATTGAAGTTAATAAGCAACACCCAGGCGTGTACAAAATAATAAACATTTTAAGGTCAGATAAACAAGAAAGAGGCATCCATTGCTCTGAGAGAACACTGCCACCTTATAATGGGCATAAACTAGTTAACAATTAACTTTCTGCTACAAAACTAAAAATAAACTATGTTAAGTAGAAACTCATGAGCTGGCACATGAATCAAGATTTTAAAGATGAGCAATATTTTAATAGAAAAAAAGCAAGCTATTCATAATTGCAAAAAAAATAAAAAACAACTGTAAACAACCAAGATATCCTTTAAGAGGTGAATGGATAAATAAACTATGATATAGCTATACCATGATATAGCTATAATGGAATATTACCCAGCAATATAGAGAAATGAGCTATTGAGACAAGAAGCATGGATGAGTCTTAAATGCATATTGCTAAGTGAAACAAGTCAGTCTGAAAAGGCTACGTACTGTATGATTCCAATTATGCTAATATTCTAGAAAGGGCAAATCTACAGTCAGTAAAAAGGTGAGTGGTCGCCAGGCATCAGTGGGGAAGGGGTTGATTAGGTGAAAAAGATTTTTAGGGCAGGGAAACTATTTTGTATGATACTGTTTAACAGAGGATACATGACATTATGCCTTTGTCGGAACCCATACAGCACAAAGAGTGAATCTTAATGTATACAAAGTTTTAGAAAATTATTTAAGGCACTGGGGGATCCTAGAAAAGAATTCAGATCATAACAAGAGAATCTGACTATATGACAAATATATGACAAATATATGAAACAACCACAATGTTCAAGAAAGTGGGTGGGAAGAAAACTAATTCTGAAAATGAAGGAAGTCTATAAAACTAAAGGCAAAAGGAACTACACTCTATAGCACTCTACTCTAGTTGACAAAGTCATTTCCCAAGGAAGTATGGCTTAACAATTCTAATACTGTTATACGTGTATACTAGAATTGAATAATTAATGAATGGAAGATGATGGGAGGCAGGTTCCTCAATGTTAGAGTGGGAGTTTACATATAAGTAAGGAGAGAAGGGTAGACTGCAACATGTGGTAATGGATTAGTTAGAAACATTAGCAAATCTCATCTTTATATATATATACTAGAGGCCCGGTGCACAAAAATTTGTGCACTCGGGTGCGAGGGGGGGCCCTCAGCCCGGCTTGTGCCCTCTCGCATTCTGGAACCCCTCGGAAGATAACGACCTGCTGGTTTAGGCCTGCTCCCGGGTGGCAGAGGGCAGGCCCAATCCCTAGGTGCAGCCCCTGGTCGGGTTCAGAGCAAGGCCAATTGCGGAGTCGGGGCGCCGCCCCCTGTCATGCACAGAGCAGGGCGGATTGGGAGGTTGTGATGCCATCCTCAGTCACGCTCAGGGTAGGGCCAATTGGGGGGTTGGGGCACCGCCCCCTGTCACACTCAAGGCAGGGTTGATGGGGAGGTTGCGGCGCCACCCATTGTCATGCACAGAGCAGGGCCGATCAGGGGGTTGGGGCGCTGCCCCCTATCACGCACAGAGCAGGGCCCATCAGGGGGGTTGGGGCTTCGTACCCTGTCACGCACAGAGCAGGGTCAATCAGGGGGTTGAGGAGCTCCCCCCTGTCATGCACCGAGCAGGGCTGATCGGGGGGGTGAGGAG